ATATTTTCTATAGAAAAGTTTGTGAAGGAACGTTTTCTATAGAAACGTTTTCAAAGGAAAGCTTTGTAGAGAAAAGTTTGTCAAGGGAAGTTTTCTATAGAAAAGTTTGTCAAGGGAAGTTTTCTATAGAAAAGTTTATGAAGGAAAGCTTTGTAGAGAAAAGTTTGTGAAAGAAAGTTTTCTCTCGAATAGTTTGTGAAGGAAATTTTCTATAGAAAAGTGTATGAAGGAACATTTTCTATAGAAAAGTTTATGAAGGAAAATTTTCTATAGAAAAGTTGGTGAAAGAAAGTTTTCTATAGAAAAGTTGGTGAAGCAAAGTTCTCTATAGAAAAGATGGTGAAGCAAAGTTTTCTGTAGAAAAGATGGTGAAAGAATTTTTTTTTGGAAAAGTTTGTGAAGAAAATTTTTCTATAGAAAAGTTTGTGAAGGAAATTTTCTATAGAAAAGTTTGTCAAGGAAAGTTTTCTATAGAAAAGTGTATGAAGGAACATTTTCTATAGAAAAGTTTATGAAGGAAAGTTTTCTATAGAAAAGTTGGTGAAGCAAAGTTCTCTATAGAAAAGATGGTGAAGCAAAGTTTTCTATAGAAAAGATGGTGAAAGAAATTTTTCTTTGGAAAAGTTTGTAAAGGAAAGTTTTCTATAGAAAAGTTTGTGAAGGCAAGCTTTCTATAGAAAAGTTGGTGAAGTAAAGTTTTCTATAGAAAAGTTGGTGAAGGAAAGTTTTCTATAGAAAAGTTGGTGAAGGAAAGTTTTGTATAGAAAAGTTGGTGAAGGAAAGTTTTGTATAGAAAAGTTGGTGAAGGAAAGTTTTCTATGAAAAACTTCATGTTATGGAAAAGCTTATGAATGAAAGTTTTTTATAGAAAACTTTATGATGAAAGCTTTCTACTAAAAAAATTGTGATATAAATGTTGTTTAAGAAAGTTAGTGATTAAAACTTTCTATAGAAAGGTTTGTGATTCAAGTTTTCCATAAAAAAGTTTGTAATGAACGTTTTGTACAAAAAAGTTCACCAAATGGGTGAAAACAATTCAATTTGTTTTTGCTGAAAGAAAATGAATTCCTCAAGTATTCTAAATCCTAAAATAAATATTTATTATTTTGTACGTGTTTTTTTATAATATTTTATAGTGAACACGTTTTCCTACCCCTTCCCTACTCCCTTAAATATCATTACAATCATACTGTGCGGTTTTTTAATGAAATTTTTGAAATTTCATGTAATTCTTTTTAAAATACAATTCTCTAGTTTTTGCATTTAGTCTTTATTAATAAATTTTTTTACAAAATATTTATGTTTCTATATTATTTGTTAATGGCACCCTCCTTTACACTTGTCATTTAAACGAGAATAGTCTAGCTGGTTTGCTAGTCTGTCTGTCTGTCTGTCTGTCTGTCTGTCTGCCTCTTTAACCAAATGTCTGTTTGATTTTGTAAGTCTTCAGTTTGCATTTTATTTACAACGTATTTACATAAAATACTATTTTTTTTCTAAATGACAGAATTTATTACTATTTTATAATATTAATGAGCAATTTATTTTGCTGCCATATTGATGTCGTCGTTGTAGATGTTTGTGGGTGCAGATTGAAAATAAAACAATTTTGTTATTATTTTAAATTTATTCTAGATTTAAAGATTTTAAAATGTCAAATAATGAAAAAATATCAAGTAGATTTTAAGAAAAATGCATTTTAATTAAAACAATGTTTTCTATTTAAATTTTAAACAAAATATGTATTCAAAATATTTTTCGTCTAAAGTTCACATTTAGTAGGTTTTCCATGTAATTGTTTAATTTTCTTTAACTAAATTATGTTTTATTCCTTTATTTTTTTAAACACTTAAAACAAAGACTAGTTATTTTAACAATGTTGCTGATTAAGTGCCTTTTTTCTTCCTTTTTTATACTTTTTTTTTTCATTATAATAAAGTATAATAATGTATTATAAAAAAATCTGCTATATCAGCATCAGTTGTCATGTAATGAACACTTTTACAACATTCACATTTATTTTTCCTCGTTTCTTTTTTTTCATTCTTCAGTTTTTCATATAAGAACTTCCTGTTTTTAAAGTTTAAAACCCGCATAATATGGTCTCATGTTTTTTAAAAAATATTTATCGTCTGATATTAAACATTATTGTGGTGTTGTTTGATGGGTTGTTATGGGCAAGAGTTAGTTTTATTTTACATTTTTATTTTCTATATTAAAATAAAATGTTAAATATTATTGTGTATAATAAAAACCAGAAAGTAAATTACTTTATTTCTGTGAATTTCAATATATTTTGTCAGCATTAAAGAATTTTTGAAAACTGCAGTTTTTTTTTTGAAGTGATTGTGGAAAAATGAATCAACGGAAGTAAGGGCTATAGATTAAAAGTTTTAATTTTTTTGGGGGAGAACGAATGCCTTCATGTTCTAAAGAAATTTCCCTATACAAACTTTTCTTCACAAACTTTTCAAGAGAAAGCTTTACTTCACAAACCTTTTTATAGAAAAATTTCCTTCGCAAACTTTTCTATAGAAAATATTCCTTTACAAATTTTTCTATAGAAAGCTTTCCCTCACCAACTTTTTTAAAGAAAACTTTGTTTCACCAACTTTTTCTATAGAAAACTTTGCTTCATCAACTTTTCTATAGAAAACTTTCTTTCACAAACTTTTCTATAGAAAACTTTTTTCACAAACTTTTCTATAGAAAATTTTCCTGCACCAACTTTTCCATAGAAAACTTTACTTCACCAACTTTTCCATAGAAAACTTTTTTTCACAAACTTTTCTATAGAAAACTTTCCTGCACCAACTTTTCTTTAGAAAACTTTTTTTCACACACTTTTCTATAGAAAACTTTTTTTCACAAACTTTTCTATAGAAAACTTTTTTTCACAAACTTTTCTATAGAAAACTTTTTTTCACAAACTTTTCTATAGAAAACATTCCTGTACAAACACAAACTTTTCTATAGAAAATTTTCCTTCACACACTTTTTTAGAAAACTTTCCTTCACAAATTTTTCTATGTAATACTTTCCTTTGCATACTTTTCTTTACAAACTTTTCTATAGAAAACATCCCTGCACAAACTTTTCTATAGAAAACTTTCGGTCACAAACTTTCCTCTAGAAAATTTTCCTTCACAAACTTTTCTATAGAAAACTTGCCTACACAAACTTTTTTAGAGAAAGCTTTCCTACACAAACTTTTCTGGAGAAAGCTTTTCTACACAAACTTTTCTAGAGAAAGCTTTCCTACACAAACTTTTCTATAAAAAACTTTTCTATAGAAAACTTTTCTTTACAAGCTTTTATATAGAAAGCTTTCCTTCACAAACTTTTCTAACGAAAACTTTCCTTCACAAACTTTTCTAAAGTAAACTTTCCTTCACAAACTTTTCTATAGAAAACTTTCCTTCACAAACTTTTCTATAGAAAACTTTCCTTCACAAACTTTTCTATAGAAAACTTTCCTTCACAAACTTGTCTATAGAAAACTTTCCTTCACAAACTTTTCTATACAAATCTATACTTCACATACTTTTCTATGGAACGATTTGCTTTACAAACTTTACTTCATAAACTTTTTCAAAGAAAACTTTCTTTTATCATCTTTTCGATAGAAAATTTTTCTTCACCAGCTTTTCTATAGAAAACTTTCCTTCACAAACTTTTCTCTAGAAAACTTTCCTTCACAAATTTTTCTTTAGAAAACTTTCCTTCACAAACTCTTCTCTAGAAAACTTTCCTTCACAAACTTTTTTCTAGAAAACTTTCCTTCATAAACTTTTTTCTAGAAAACTTTCTTTCATAAACTTTTCTATTGAAAACTTTCCTTCACAAACTTTTCTATAGAAAACTTTCCCTCATAAACTTTTTTCTAGAAAACTTTCTTTCATAAACTTTTCTATTGAAAACTTATCTTCACAAACTTTTCTATAGAAAACTTTCCTTTACAAACTTTTCTTTAGAAAATTTTCCTTCACAAACTTTTCTATAGAAAACTTTCCTTCATAAACTTTTTTCTAGAAAACTTTCTTTCATAAACTTCTCTATAGAAAACTTTTCTTCACAAACTTTTCTATAGAAAACATTCCTTCACAAACTTTCATCAGAATATTTTCCATAAAACAGTCCTAAGCTTTTCTAAATACATAAAACTTTCTATAGAAAGCTTCCATTCCATTTTTCTAAATTTTCTTATTGAAAACTTTTATAGAAAAAAGCTTTATTGAACTGTTTTTTAGAGAATACTCTCCATGTAAAGGAAGCTTGTTTTGTTTTCTGGGATACTTATTTTTTAATGATACATCACATTTTAAATGTCAAAAGTTTCAAAGAAAACTATGTTTTTTTTTTTTTAAAAAAACCACAGTTCTTAAACTCTTTAAAATAGTTTTTATTTTTTTTGTTCTTGTTATTGTTGTTATTTAGAAAAAACACTCTATAAAAGCAAGTGTTTAAAAGCAGGGGCTTTTTATCCCATAAGAGATTGATTGAATTTATTTGAAAAAAAAGTTTTCTTAAAAGAAGAAAAGCAACAAAACCCTTGGAAAATGTTTAAAGAATAATACACTGCAAAATATTTGCTTTAAATCAGAATTATAGTATTTGCACTATATATATAGTACATTATAACTGTATTCATATACATAGTTCGAATAAAATGATGACCTAGTTTTGCTGTTGAATAAAAAAACAAAACAGAAATACAAGAAAATACATATTAAATGAAATGAAACAAAAAAAAAAAAAAAAAAAAATACATGACACTTTTATACGCAAAAATATGAAAAGTGAAATGTTGAAAAATAAAATCTTCTAGAGAAAAATAAAAGATGTAACATTTTTATTTCTATAACAAGCAGCTGATGCTTAAAGCAATTTATATTTTAATATTTATGTTAAAACAACATTTCTTAGATTTGTGAAGGAAAAAATGTTTATTATTTTTAGTTTAATTTTTCTTTTCATTCTCTCTATCTTCTATTCCTTAGGCGTCCTTCAAATTTGTCCGTAGTTTGGACTAGACGTTCAAGACGCGTGGCTTCATCACCGCTGCCTTGGGAACCCGATATGATGAATCCGCTGGTCGGTAATGTCTCTTGGCCAGTTCCCGATAATCATTGTATAACCGTAACACTCTTCAAGGATCCCCGCACCCACGAATTAGAAGATAAAGATTGGACTTTTGTTATAGAAGATGTAAGTTTTCAATTCACATTTATCTAATGACTTTCTTTTGTTATTATAATTATTGTTGTTGTTGTTGTCATATAATGACAGCGAAATTGTATGAGTGCACTTTTTCAATGAAAATGAAAATTCTCCGTATGAGTGTGTGTCTCTCGGTACTATATTTGACCTAGTTTAAGTTTGGTTTTTATTACAATTTTACATTGTAAATAGAATTGTGTACTATAGACGAGTACATGACAGGAATGGGAAATTTCAATTATGAATTAGTACTTATTTTAATAAAAAAGTACTTTTTAGCTCAGCTTAGTTTTACCTCTAGTTCAGTTCTAGTTCAGTTCTAGTTCAGTTCTAATTCAGTTCTAGTTCAGTTCTAGTTCAGTTCTAGTTCAGTTCTAGTTCAGTTCTAGTTCAGTTCTAGTTCAGTTCTAGTTCAGTTCTAGTTCAGTTCTAGGTCAGTTCTAGTTCAGTTCTAGTTCAGTTCTAGTTTAGTTCTAGTTCAGTTCTAGTTCAGTTCTAGTTCAGTTCTAGTTCAGTTCTAGTTCAGTTCTAGTTCAGTTCTAGTTCAGTTCTAGTTCAGTTCTAGTTCAGTTCTAGTTCAGTTCTAGTTCAGTTCTAGTTCAGTTCTAGTTCAGTTCTAGTTCAGTTCTAGTTCAGTTCTAGTTCAGTTCTAGTTCAGTTCTAGTTCAGTTTCTAGTTCAGTTCTAGTTCAGTTCTAGTTCAGTTCTAGTTCAGTTCTAGTTCAGTTCTAGTTCAGTTCTAGTTCAGTTCTAGTTCTCGTTCAGTTCTAGTTCAGTTCTAGTTCAGTTCTAGTTCAGTTCTAGTTCAGTTCTAGTTCAGTTCTAGTTCAGTTCTAGTTCAGTTCTAGTTCAGTTCTAGTTCAGTTCTAGTTCAGTTCTAGTTCAGTTCTAGTTCAGTTCTAGTTCAGTTCTAGTTCAGTTCTAGTTCGTTCTAGTTCAGTTCTAGTTCAGTTCTAGTTCAGTTCTAGTTCAGTTCTAGTTCAGTTCTAGTTCAGTTCTAGTTCAGTTCTAGTTCAGTTCTAGTTCAGTTCTAGTTCAGTTCTAGTTCAGTTCTAGTTCAGTTCTAGTTCAGTTCTAGTTCAGTTCTAGTTCAGTTCTAGTTCAGTTCTAGTTCAGTTCTAGTTCAGTTCTAGTTCAGTTCTAGTTCAGTTCTAGTTCAGTTCTAAGTTCAGTTCTAGTTCAGTTCTAGTTCAGTTCTAGTTCAGTTCTAGTTCAGTTCTAGTTCAGTTCTAGTTCAGTTCTAGTTCAGTTCTAGTTCTAGTTCTAGTTCAGTTCTAGTTCAGTTCTAGTTCAGTTCTAGTTCAGCTCTAGTTCAGTTCTAGTTCAGTTCTAGTTCAGTTCTAGTTCAGTTCTAGTTCAGTTCTAGTTCAGTTCTAGTTCAGTTCTAGTTCAGTTCTAGTTCAGTTCTAGTTCAGTTCTAGTTCAGTTCTAGTTCAGTTTAGTTCAGTTCTAGTTCAGTTCTAGTTCAGTTCTAGTTCAGTTCTAGTTCAGTTCTAGTTCAGTTCTAGTTCAGTTCTAGTTCAGTTCTAGTTCAGTTCTAGTTCAGTTCTAGTTCAATTCTAGTTCAGTTCTAGTTCAGTTCTAGTTCAGTTCTAGTTCAGTTCTAGTTCAGTTCTAGTTCAGTTCTAGTTCAGTTCTAGTTCAGTTCTAGTTCAGTTCTAGTTCAGTTCTAGTTCAGTTCTAGTTCAGTTCTAGTTCAGTTCTAGTTCAGTTCTAGTTCAGTTCTAGTTCAGTTCTAGTTCAGTTCTAGTTCAGTTCTAGTTCAGTTCTAGTTCAGTTCTAGTTCAGTTCTAGTTCAGTTCTAGTTCAGTTCTAGTTCAGTTCTAGTTCAGTTCTAGTTCAGTTCTAGTTCAGTTCTAGTTCAGTTCTAGTTCAGTTCTAGTTCAGTTCTAGTTCAGTTCTAGTTCAGTTCTAGTTCAGTTCTAGTTCAGTTCTAGTTCAGTTCTAGTTCAGTTCTAGTTCAGTTCTAGTTCAGTTCTAGTTCAGTTCTAGTTCAGTTCTAGTTCAGTTCTAGTTCAGTTCTAGTTCAGTTCTAGTTCAGTTCTAGTTCAGTTCTAGTTCAGTTCTAGTTCCAGTTCTAGTTCTTTCTAGTTCAGTTCTAGTTCAGTTTCTAGTTCTTCTAGTCAGTTCTAGTTCTAGTTCAGTTCTAGTTCAGTTCTAGTTCAGTTCTAGTTCAGTTCTAGTTCAGTTCTAGTTCAGTTCTAGTTCAGTTCTAGTTCAGTTCTAGTTCAGTTCTAGTTCTAGTTCAGTTCTAGTTCAGTTCTAGTTCAGTTCTAGTTCAGTTCTAGTTCAGTTCTAGTTCAGTTCTAGTTCAGTTCTAGTTCAGTTCTAGTTCAGTTCTAGTTCAGTTCTAGTTCAGTTCTAGTTCAGTTCTAGTTCAGTTTCTAGTTCAGTTCTAATTCAGTTCTAGTTCAGTTCTAGTTCAGTTCTAGTTCAGTTCTAGTTCAGTTCTAGTTCAGTTCTAATTCAGTTCTAGTTCAGTTCTAGTTCAGTTCTAGTTCAGTTCTAGTTCAGTTCTAGTTCAGTTCTAATTCAGTTCCATCCCTGGTACCTACATATTAAGTCATTTATTTATTTTGTATGATTTCATGTGTTTTTTTGTTTGTTGTCTGTCATGAAATGTTTAAAAACTAGTTCATCATCATCGTTCTATAAATAATGACAGACAAAATTAAAATATTAAATGAGGGTTAATTTTAGGTTTCTACACATAAACGTTTTAAATTTATGCCTCTTTAAAAGCTTAAACTGAAATAAGTATGAAATTAAGGTAATTATGTTTACACCATAAAGGAATCTGTGGAATTGGTGTGGAATAATGACTGTGTGAAAAAAGACAGAAGAACTTTATTTTCTTAAGAGACTGTTGGACTGTTTAAGTTTTGCCGTAAAAAAACAAGTTAGGAAATAAATTTTGCAGTTAAGACTATGATTTTTTTTTGTTAAATCCGCAAAAGAAACTATAAAGTTTTATTATACACTTTATTATAAGTTTTTTTATTAGGGTGGGATCTTTTTTATAATTTTTATTCGTATTTCAAAACGAACTTTTTTACAGTGAAAACAAAAATTCGATGGTTCAAAATTGCTTTAAACTGTTATTAAAGCATTTTTTATTAAAAACCTTCAGCGAAAACTTTCATCGAAAGCTTTTCCTTGGAAGAATTCCTCTGTAGATAACGAAAGCATTTCTATAGAAAACTTTAATCAAATGTTTCTATAAAACACTTAATCGAAAGCTTTTCTATTGAAAGCTTTAATCGATAGTTTTTCTATGGAAAACTTAAATCAAAAGCTTTCTATAGAAAACTTAAATCGAAAGCTTTTCTATAGAAAACTTAAGTCGAAGGCTTTTCTATAGACAACTTAAATCGAAAGCTTTTCTATAGAAAACTTAAATCGAAAGCTTTTCTATAGAAAACTTAAATCGAAAGCTTTTCTCGAAGGCTTTTCTATAGAAAACTTAAATCGAAAGCTTTTCTATAGAAAACTGTTCACAATCTTTTCTATAGAAAACTTTCCTTCACAAACTTTTCTGTTGAAAACTTTCATTCATAAACTTTTCTATAGAAAACGTTCCTTTACAAACTTTTCTATAGAAAACGTTCCTTTACAAACTTTTCTATAGAAAACTTTCATTCACAAACTTTTCTATAAAAAGGTTTCTTCACTTATTTTTCGAAAGGAAACTTCCATCGTAAGCTTTTAGCCGGAAAACTTTCATAGAAAGCTTTTTTCTAGGAAACTTGCATCGTAAGCTTTTCTCAAGAAAACTTTCATCTTAATCTTTCAGCTAGAAGAAAAAACTTTAATCGAAAGCTTTTCTCTAGAAAACTTTCTTTTTTCTGGAAAACTTTAATTTAAAGCTTTTATAGAAAACTTTCATATCTTGTAATACCTCAATAATTAATATTAATCATACGCTCTGTACTACGTAATATTTTAAAAAGTGAAATTTTTTAAAACACAAAATCCTAATGCCTAAAACTGAAGGAGTTTAGAAAGAGCTTTGGGAAAAAGAAGTTTTTTCTTTTTTTCTTTATTCTGTTTTAGATTATTTTCTGTCTCATTTATAGTTCTTGCACATAAAGAAAATAATTAATTATAAAACTTTGCACACATTGTTTGTTTCTAAAGAAAGCACTTTATTAGAGAGTGTGAGTGAGCATTATCTTTCTGGAAAAGCAAACTCAACTAATTTAAAATATCTAATGACAACAACTCGTTATGGAAATATAAACACAAAAGCATTTTATACATAAAATTCTAAAGCAACATTGTTTAAATTCTGAGCAGCATTGTTCTTGAAAACACTTTCATTTCTTGTTTTTAAGAAAACTTGAAAAGAAAGATTCTTAAAACTTGATTTCACTTAAGCACCTTTATTGTTACAACTGTTGTTTAAAAATTGTTTAAGGTCAGTAGTTTTTATTGTAGAAAATAATATCCTTTTTCAGTGCATTAATGTATTTTTGTTAAAAGCAATATGTAGTTTTATTGATTTTATTCAAAAACATATTTTTTTACATTTTTCCCTTTTTAAACAAATTTTACCTTGAAATATTGCCATTAACATTTGTATATAATTTTCTAATTTTCTTGTCAACAATAACAGCATTTTACACTTCAACAAACCAAGCAAAAAACGAAAAAATTCAACCTCAAAACCACAATTAAATGAATAATTGTTGCCAAAGGTTAAACCCCATCCTCCCTAGGCTGCAAATAGTACAAAAATATAAACAAATTTCCCAAAACTAAATACATATTTAAAAAAGGACGAAAATCTATATTTCAAAAAAAGTTTCGAATTTCACCATAAGACCTTGGCAATATGTATTCATTAAGTAATGAAATTGTTGCTTTCAAATGGTTCATGTTTTAAGTAAATAAATTTTTTAAATTTCTTTGTTTTTCTCTTCTTTTCTCTTTAACTTAATTGTATGATTAATTTGTTTTTATTTTCATATCATGCTGTAATTTAATCATATTTTACAAAAAAAATATATAATTTAATTCTTTAATTAATAGTGACATTTGCAGACACAAAACCGCCTCCACGCATTAATATTTTTGTTTAAGGTTTTCTTTAACACCAACTAAAAGTTTGTGCGAGACAAACGACAAAAAAAAAACTGAAAAAAGACATCAACGCATTGAAATGAATAGCGGAAGGACTGTTTATGATTAAATGAAAGCAAAAGTACTTTCGATTTAATATGAAAAAATTAAACGTACAGAGTATGGAATGGGCATTTAAGTTTAATAATGGGGGCCTTCAACAGGTTATGGATTATTTCTCATAAAAATTGTCAAGAGCAGAACTAGAACAGAAGTAGAACAGAAGTAGAACAGAACTAGAACAGAACTAGAACAGAACTAGAACAGAACTAGAACAGAACTAGAACAGAACTAGAACAGAACTAGAACAGAACTAGAACAGAACTAGAACAGAACTAGAACAGAACTAGAACAGAACTAGAACAGAACTAGAACAGAACTAGAACAGAACTAGAACAGAACTAGAACAGAACTAGAACAGAACTAGAACAGAACTAGAACAGAACTAGAACAGAACTAGAACTAGAACTAGAACAGAACTAGAACAGAACTAGAACAGAACTAGAACTAGAACAGAACTAGAACTAGAACTAGAACTGAACTAGAACTAGAACAGAACTAGAACAGAACTAGAACTTGAACTAGAACAGAACTGAAACAGAACTAGAACAGAACTAGAACAGAACTAGAACAGAACTAGAACAGAACTAGAACAGAACTAGAACAGAACTAGAACAGAACTCAGAACTAGAACAGAACTAGAACAGAACTAGAACAGAACTAGAACAGAACTAGAACAGAACTAGAACAGAACTAGAACAGAACTAGAACAGAACTAGAACAGAACTAGAACAGAACTAGAACAGAACTAGAACAGAAATAGAACAGAACTAGAACAGAACTAGAACAGAACTAGAACAGAAACTAGAACAGAACTAGAACAGAACTAGAACAGAACTAGAACAGAACTAGAACAGAAACTAGAACAGAACTAGAACTAGAACTAGAACAGAACTAGAACAGAACTAGAACAGAACTAGAACTAGAACAGAACTAGAACTAGAACTAGAACTAGAACTGAACTAGAACTAGAACAGAACTAGAACAGAACTAGAACAGAACTAGAACTGAACTAGAACAGAACTGAAACAGAACTAGAACAGAACTAGAACAGAACTAGAACAGAACTAGAACAGAACTAGAACAGAACTAGAACAGAACTAGAACAGAACTAGAACAGAACTAGAACACAGCACATAGAAACTAGAACAGAACTAGAACAGAACTAGAACAGAACTAGAACAGAACTAGAACAGAACTAGAACAGAACTAGAACAGAACTAGAACAGAACTAGAACAGAACTAGAACAGAACTAGAACAGAACTAGAACAGAACTAGAACAGAACTAGAACAGAATTAGAACAGAACTAGAACAGAACTAGAACAGAACTAGAACAGAACTAGAACAGAACTAGAACAGAACTAGAACAGAACTAGAACAGAACTAGAACAGAACTAGAACAGAACTAGAACAGAACTAGAAAGAACTAAGAACAGAACAGAACTAGAACAAACCTAGAACTAGAACTGAACAGAACTAGAACAGAACTAGAACAGAACTAGAACAGAACTAGAACAGAACTAGAACAGAACTAAAACTGAACTAAAACTGAACTAGAACAGAACTAGAACAGAACTAGAACAGAACTAGAACAGAACTAGAACAGAACTAGTTCAGAACTAGAGCAGAACTAGAACAGAACTAGAACAGAAATAGAACAGAACTAGAACAGAACTAGAACAGAACTAGAACAGAACTAGAATAGAACTAGAACAGAACTAGAACAGAACTAGAACAGAACTAGAACAGAATTAGAACAGAACTAGAACAGAACTAGAACAGAACTAGAACAGAACTAGAACAGAACTAGAACAGAACTAGAACAGAACTAGATCAGAACTAGAACAGAACTAGAACAGAACTAGAACAGAACTAGAACAGAACTAGAACAGAACTAGAACAGAACTAGAACAGAACTAGAACAGAACTAGAACAGAACTAGAACAGAACTAGAACAGAACTAGAACAGAACTAGAACAGAACTAGAACAGAACTAGAACAGAACTAGAACAGAACTAGAACAGAACTAGAACAGAACTAGAACAGAACTAGAACAGAACTAGAACAGAACTAGAACAGAACTGAACTGAACTAGAACTGAACTAGAACTGAACTAGAACTGAACTAGAACTGAACTAGAACTGAACTAGAACTGAACTAGAACTGAACTAGAACTGAACTAGAACTGAACTAGAACTGAACTAGAACTGAACTAGACTGATTAGAACTGAACTAGAACTGAACTAGAACTGAACTAGAACTGAACTAGAACTGAACTAGAACTGAACTAGAACCGAACTAGAACTGAACTAGAACTGAACTAGAACTGAACTAGAACTGAACTAGAACTAAACTAGAACTGAACTAGAACTGAACTAGAACTGAACTAGAACTGAACTAGAACTGAACTAGAACTAAACTAGTCCTGAATTACAACTGAACTAGTCCTGAATTACAACTGAACTAGAACTATACTGCAACTGATACAACAAAAACTATACAAGAACTGAACTGGAACTGAACTAATACCGAACTGGAACTGAAATAGAACAACAGCTGAACTACAACTAAACTACAACAAACGCATCTAGAACTGAAATAGAATTAAAGTAGAAGAAAATTAGAATTGAACTAGACTTGAACTAGAATTGAACTAGGATTGAACTGGAACTGAAAACTTATCTGTCCAAAAGTATTATTATTTTAAATGCTTACTTGATTTTTGAGGAGCCTCACCATTCCCACTCCAGCCTTTATGATATTCACAACATTCACTTTTTCCTCAAGACATAAAGTTAAAAAATTACACCACATATCTGCATGTGCGCGGCTGGAGGCATGTGTAGGTGTTAAAATATTATTACTTACAATTTAAACTTGATGAAAAACAAAATTGAAAAGCGGAAAATTTCTCATGTTGAAATGAATATAAAAATCAAGTAGATAGTTTTTGTGCATATATTTATTTCTTTTCTATTGCAAAAAAACGGTTATAAAATAATATATAGAAAAAAAAGCACGTTTTATTACAAAAAATCGATTTTATAAAATATTTTGTTTTTATGGCTATAGAATTGTATCTATGAGTGTGGTAATTGTTGTTGGAGCAAAATTGTATTTGCTTGTCTTTAGGCCGTTGGCCATATTTGTTAAACGGCTTAAGTTTTGAAAAATGTAAATGTTTCTTCTATGTTTGTTAGACAATTAGTTTTGGTCACACACCAAACATTTAAAACGGAAATAAATGTGTAGAGAAAAATACAAAGCATACATGTTTAGGCAACATGCCGAAACACAAACTCTTTGTAAAATGTTTAAAGAGTGAAAAATATTTAAAAAATTTAAATCATAAAAGGAAAAAATCATTAAATCATTTAAATTGCCTTTAAAATTTTCATAATTTTAAAAATACCTTTAGCTATAAAACAAACTGTTTCTTATCTTAAAATTCTAATTAAAATGTTCATTTCCAATTTTCCCTTTTAAAGATAACTCCCATGGGTAAAAAGCGTGTTTTAGCCAATGCCAATATAAATATGCGTAAATATGCCAGTATTGAGTCAACGCAACAAAGTTTTACTTTAAGTCTAAAACCGGTATCACGTAAAGTGACAGCAGCCGAATTAGAATTGACCATAAGTTGTGTATTTTTGCGTGAAGGCAAAGCTACGTAAGTTTAATTTACAAAAATAACAAAAAAATATATTTCATTAAAACATTTACTCTTAATCTTTCCCTCTTAGCGATGAAGACATGCAAAGTGTGGTTTCCTTAATGTCTGTCAATAATAACTGTGATGTAGCTCCTTTGGATGATTTAGAAGATATACCAGATTTGGAAAATTCCGCTGATATATCTGATCATTTGTATGATTTCACTCAACAATTGGAACAAATGACTACCAGTCTAAATGGTTGCATGGATTTACCTACGCCTTTGAGTGGTAAGTTTTTGTTTTCGTCTCTACAGTATTTTATTATTATTATTTAATTGTTTTTTGTTTATAAATGTTGCAAATATAAAACGTACAAATATATACTTATAACAACTATATATAGTAGTATGTATTTGATTTATATATTTTATAAACTTTTATGTATAAAATTTGATTTGTTATTTTGTAGTGAATAGAAGTAAATGAGAACAGTTTGGTTTTTTTAGGTAAAACCTTCAAAAAGAAATCATATGACTTTTATGTTAAATGAACTGAACTAGAACTGAACTGGAACTGAACTAGAACTGAAATAGAACTAAACTAGAACTAAACTAGAACTGAACTAGAACTGAACTAGATCTGAACTAGAACTGAACTAGAACTGAATTAGAACTGAATTAGAACTGAATTAGAACTGAACTAGAACTGAACTAGAACTGAACTAGAACTGAACTAGAACTGAACTAGAACTGAACTAGAACTGAACTAGAACTGAACTAGAACTGAACTAAAACTGAACTAAAACTGAACTAGATCTGAACTAGAACTGAACTAGAATTGAACTAGAATTGAACTACTGAACTAGAACTAGAACTGAACTAGAACTGAACTAGAACTGAACTAGAACTGAACTAGAACTGAACTAGAACTGAACTAGAACTGAACTAGAACTGAACTAGAACTGAACTAGAACTGAACTAGAACTGAACTCGACTAACTAGAACTGAACTAGAACTGAACTAGAACTGAACTAGAACTGAACTAGAACTGAACTAGAACTGAACTAGAACTGAACTAGAACTGAACTAGAACTGAACTAGAACTGAACTAGAACTGAACTAGAACTGAACTAGAACTGAACTAGAACTGAACTAGAACTGAACTAGAACTGAACTAGAACTGAACTAGAACTGAACTAGAACTGAACTAGACTGAACTAGAACTGAACTAGAACTGAACTAGAACTGAACTAGAACTGAACTAGAACTGAACTAGAACTGAACTAGAACTGAACTAGAACTGAACTAGAACTGAACTAGAACTGAACTAGAACTGAACTAGAACTGAACTAGAACTGAACTAGAACTGAACTAGAACTGAACTAGAACTGAACTAGAACTGAACTAGAACTGAACTAGAACTGAACTAGAACTGAACTAGAACTGAACTAGGAACTAGAACTGAACTAGAACTGAACTAGAACTGAACTAGAACTGAACTAGAACTGAATTAGAACTAGAACTGAACTAGAACTAAACTAGAATTAGAACTGAACTAGAATTAGAACTGAACTAGAACTGAACTAGAACTGAACTAGAACTGAACTAGAACTGAACTAGAACTGAACTAGAACTGAACTAGAACTGAACTAGAACTGAACTAGAACTGAACTAGAACTGAACTAGAACTGAACTAGAACTGAACTAGAACTGAACTAGAACTGACTAGAACTGAACTAGAACTGAACTAGAACTGAACTAGAACTGAACTAGAACTGAACTAGAACTGAACTAGAACTGAACTAGAACTGAACTAGAATACTGAACTAGAACTGAACTAGAACTACTGAACTAGAACTAGAACTGAACTAGAACTGAACTAGAACTGAACTAGAACTGAACTAGAACTGAACTAGAACTGAACTAGAACTGAACTAGAACTGAACTAGAACTGAACTAGAACTGAACTAGAACTGAACTAGAACTGAACTAGAACTGAACTAGAACTGAACTAGAACTGAACTAGAACTGAACTAGAACTGAACTAGAACTGAACTAGAACCTGAACTAGAACTGAACTAGAACTGAACTAGAACTGAAACTAGAACTGAACTGAATTAGAACTAGAACTGAACTAGAACTAAACTAGAACTAGAACTGAACTAGAACTGAACTAGAACTGAACTAGAACTGAACTAGAACTTAACTAGAACTGAACTAGAACTGAACTAGAACTGAACTAGAACTGAACTAGAACTGAACTAGAACTGAACTAGAACTGAACTAGAACTGAACTAGAACTGAACTAGAACTGAACTAGAACTGAACTAGAACTGAACTAGAACTGAACTAGAACTGAACTAGAACTGAACTAGAACTGAACTAGAACTGAACTAGAACTGAACTAGAACTGAACTAGAACTGAACTAGAACTGAACTAGAACTGAACTAGAACTGAACTAGAACTGAACTAGAACTGAACAGAACTGAACTAGAACTGAACTAGAACTGAACTAGAACTGAACTAGAACTGAACTAGAACTGAACTAGAACTGAACTAGAACTGAACTAGAACTGAACTAGAACTGAACTAGAACTGAACTAGAACTGAACTAGAACTGAACTAGAACTGAACTAGAACTGAACTAGAACTGAACTAGAACTGAACTAACTGAACTAGAACTGAACTAGAACTGAACTAGAACTGAACTAGAACTGAACTAGAACTGAACTAGAACTGAACTAGAACTGAACTAGAACTGAACTAGAACTGAACTAGAACTGAACTAGAACTGAACTAGAACTGAACTAGAACTGAACTAGAACTAACTAGGATTGAAGTAGAATTGAAATTAAAATGAATATAGTTCTATAATGGAATTGTCCAGGCTCACGCAAATCGCTTTTTTACCATTGCTTTAAGCATTTTGTGCTTAAAAATATGCTTTGAGTGTTTAAGTAAATAAGTATATCGGACTTAAAAACTAAATTAAGAATTAGGTATCCTTTAATGGGAGTTTTTAAACATTGCTCCCAGTCTTCTAGCATAGCTGCAGTTATTATAGATTTAAGTCTGTAGGTATAACCAATTGTTCTCCGACTTTATAACAATAGTAGTTTCTTTATAAACAATTTACTTTTAATTTCTAATACTTGTAGTAACTCTAGTAACAGTATAGTTAATTAACTTTAATTTAATTGTTAATTGTAAATTTGTTCTACTTTTTTTATTCTCTTTTATCCCTTTTATATAAATGAAAAAACTAAAAATTCTAAATTCAAAAAACAACTAAAAACAAAATTAATAAAACAATCTGGCCCACTACTCTACATTATCAACAACTATATATAACTACTATTTAACTTATTTTGTGTTATGTGTTTTGTATTTAAACGTAATAAAAACTGTTGTTGTCCCGTAATAAAATTCCAAAAAAAAACCCCATATATAATGTAAAATCCATGAAAAAAACTCAAATCCCATATAAACACAAAAAACAACAATTCGATGTTTTATTGTCTGTGTGTGTGTGTGTGTGTATATGTAAATGTGTAGTACCTTCTTTGTCAGAAGATCCAACTCCATTGGCTGAAGTTAATAATATAAATTTTGAACTTGAATCAGATAAATATCCTTATTCACCCATGAATGATGAGCATAATAATGATGATATTGATGATGATTTCAAAGAGGATTTATTAAAAACACCAAGTGCTGCAGCAGCAACAACAACAACGGCTGCCACAACACTGCCGTCATCGACACAAAAAGTTCCTAGCGATGAACAATTAGCGGATAAAGCAACGAAAAAAGATTTTATGAAACCTATGAAAATGGTTACCTCAACACCCATAACCAAAGTGAATGAAAAGAAATCTGAAGATGTGGTTAAGTTGGAGCAAAAAGTGCGTAAAGGTTTAAAATTCCCCGAGGAATATGAGCAACAAACCAAAGAGTTGGGAAACCAGCCACCAAAAGAGCAAGATTCTTTCAGCTCTTTGGAGTATTCATTTGAGAAAATAAAATCTCCTGATTCCACACTCAATGAATCCACTGTAACCGCCACGGAACTTTCTATAGAAGATAAAACTAAAACGCCTACAACTATGCTAATAACAAACACAACCACGAATAATAAAACTCAGGATGTTAATGGAAAAACCACAAACTCCTCAAATCAAGATAACGCTTTAACTAAAGACTCCCCCAAGGAAGTTGCCACTAAACAAACAAGCGAAAATAAACGTCCTGAGTTACAACCATTGAATTTAAAGAAATCCTATGAGAATATAGAACCTTCCCCGGTACCCACGGCACCAACAGCAAATAATACCAATAATACAAATACCTCTAATACGAATGGTTATCTAACAGTGAGTTCGCAACAGCTAACCACTAATAACACAAATAATTCATCCTTAAAACCGGTGGAAAAGATTATACTCAAAGAAAATACTCCCGGACAAGATTTACTTGAATGGTGCAAAGAAGTTACCAAAGATTATCCCAATGTTAAGGTTACCAATCTGACCACCAGTTGGCGTAATGGCATGGCTTTCTGTGCCATTATACATCATTTTGAACCCAATCTAATGTGAGTTCAAATATTATACCAACAAAAACAACAAAGGTTTTATAACTCCTTTTTTAAAATTTTCCCCACAGAGACATGTCTAAACTAACACCACACGATGTGGTGGGTAATTGTCGTATTGCCTTTGATGCGGCTGAATCATTGGGTATACCACGTGTCATTGAGCCACGTGATATGAGTTTATTGGCCGTACCCGATAAATTGGCCGTTATGACGTATTTACATCAATTGCGTGCTCATTTCACCGGCAAACAACTACAAATTGAACAAATTGGTAAATTAATTGAAATGCATAAAACTCAACTGAGAAAAATAAACAAACAAATTAATAAAATTTATATTCTTCCTCTCTCCACCGTTAGGTCCCACTTCTGATGAATCCAGTTATGTTATTGGCAATTATAAAACCGACAATTTATCATCACAAAATTTACTCAATTTATCACATTTGAAAGCACAACTGTTGCATCAGAATTCTTTGGATGACGATATCTTTGGCCTCGACAATAATAAATCCCAGTTATCGCCTACCGCCAAAAAAGATGTTAAGAATTTAATACTTTCCGGTTCGAAGAGTATACTGGGTAAGGTATTGTCACCCACCCACAAGGATAAGAATAGCATAAATGCTTCTCAACATTCGAATTTGAGTAATCTGGCCGTTAATACTCCTTCGTCGCCTTTAATCGAGGATAATAATGTTTCTCTCGACACTAATGAGGAACTGGAGAAACTTAACTCTTCAAATCAAGAGAATATATCCTTTAATGCACAACAACCGGTCAAAGAACCCTCTTCGCCCACAGCTTTAGATCCTAATACCACAAATGTAAGTAGGGAGCACCGGTATTCTATACCTTCTGATTTAAATTTTGTTTCCTTTTTTATACTGTTGAGTTGTTTATTTGATTTACAGCTTAGCTTTTGTTTTTTTATCATTATTAATTTATTAATCGTATTGAGTTTTATTTATAGCTTTTGTTTGGCTTTAATTTGTTTTATTTATTATTATTTTGTTGGCGCTTATTTTTTTATAGAAAATTTTATCACGTCATAAAGAACAAAGTGAAAAGGCTCGTATCATGATGGAGAAATTAAGAATTTCTCAAAATGATAAAAATAATCATGATGTAAGTAAAAGTTATCATATTCACTTCATTTGTTTTAATTTAATATGATTTTAAGTTGGTTTTTCTTAAGCTTTTGTTAAAAAAGTTTTGTTTTATTAAAGTTTTTTAATAATTTTAACACCTGAGCCAAAACTGAACTAGAAATGAACTAGAACTGGATTCGAACAGAACTAGAACTGGATTCGAACAGAACTAGAACTGAACTAGAACTGAACTAGAACTGAACTAGAACTGAACTAGAACTGAACTAGAACTGAACTAGGACTGAACTAGAACTGACTAGAACTGAACTAGAACTGAACTAGAACTGAACTAGAACTGAACTAGAACTGAACTAGAACTGAACTAGAACTGAACTAGAACTGAACTAGAACTGAACTAGAACTGAACTAGAACTGAACTAGAACTGAACTAGAACTGAACTAGAACTGAACTAGAACTGAACTAGAACTGAACTAGAACTGAACTAGAACTGAACTAGAACTGAACTAGAACTGAACTAGAACTGATCTAGAACTGATCTAGAACTGATCTAGAACTGAACTAGAACTGAACTAGAACTGAACTAGAACTAGAACTGAACTAGAACTAGAACTGAACTAGAACTAGAACTGAACTAGAACTAGAACTGAACTAGAACTGAACTAGAACTGAACTAGAACAGAACTAGAACTGAACTAGAACTGAACTAGAACTGAACTAGAACTGAACTAGAACTAAACTAGAACTGAACTAGAACTGAACTAGAACTGAACTAGAACTGAACTAGAACTGAACTAGAACTGAACTAGAACCTAGAACTGAACTAGAACTGAACTAGAACTGAACTAAACTGAACTAGAACTGAACTAGAACTGAACTAGAACTGAACTAGAACTGAACTAGAACTGAACTAGAACTGAACTAGAACTGAACTAGAACTGAACTAGAACTGAACTAGAACTGAACTAGAACTGAACTAGAACTGAACTAGAACTGAACTAGAACTGAACTAGAACGGAACTAGAACTGAACTAGAGCTGAACTAGAACTGAACTAGAACTGAACTAGAACTGAACTAGAACGAACTAGAACTGAACTAGAACTGAACTAGAACTGAACTAGAACTGAACTAGAACTGAACTAGAACTGAACTAGAACGGAACTAGAACTGAACTAGAACTGAACTAGAACTGAAACTAGAACTGAACTAGAACTGACTAGAACTGAACTATGAACTGAACTAGAACTGAACTAGAACTGAACTAGAACTGAACTAGAACTGAACTAGAACTGAACTAGAACTGAACTAGACTGAACTAGAACGAACTAGAACTGAACTAGAACTGAACTAGAACTGACGTAGAACTGAACTAGAAACTGAACTAGAACTGAACTAGAACTGAACTAGAACTGAACTAATGACTGAACTAAGAACTGAACTAGAACGAACTAGAATGAACTAGAACTGAATTTAAACTGAACAAGAACTAAACTAGAAATGGACTAAACTGACTAGAACTGAATTTGAACTGAACTAGAACTGAACTAGAACTGACAACCAACAAATTTACTTTAAACTTAAATAACAAGATTGATTAAAATCTCATTTAAACTTTTCAATACAGGAGGAACGTCAACAACGTTTACGTGAACAAGCCAGACGTTTAATACTCGAAACACGCAACAAATCCTCTAATAACAGCAGTTTGGAAAGTCCAACCTCACCCACAAAACCAAAACGCTACAATTTCACCTCAGAACGCACGATTTCACCGATCAACAACACTTTAGAGTTAGAGGAGAATGTTTCGACATCACCGAAACAACAGCTATCGCCAACGAAGAGAATAACACCACCACGTGATAATGACAGTAGTAGTAATCTAAATAAATTAAGTCCTAGTCATAGAATAAGTTTAACCAATGGTGGCAGTACTTTACAATCTTTCAATAATGTCATGGATAGAATAGCAACACCAAAGACCGAGAATATGGTAAGAAAATCATTTATGTAAAACAAATAGATATTTTAATATAAATTTATTTTAGGGCGAGAAACTGTCTTATATACAATCCGAATTAGAGGCGCTGGAACGTGAGCAAGTGGCGGTGGATCAAAAGGCCAACAGTCTGGAGAAGAAATTGCGTGCTGTTATGGGCGGCAAACCAAGTAATAATAGAACTAAATCAAATTCATTTATTAGATTAATACGTAATAGTATTGGTGGTGGTGAAACTATACGCATTAAATTATTAGATATAGAAAATGGTGAACTGTCGCTTACGCCCACGGGTAGCACAGATTCATCTACAGCTTCCTCTTCATCCTCAATTTCAAGTGATGATGATGATAATAATGATCATTTAAGACCTCATGTAGTTGGTAATACTAGACGTTTGCGTAAACGTCAACATCCCAATATAAAAAGACAACGTTCACAATCTTGTGTTGTTGAGTTGCATCATCACGAACCCCCAGAACCATCAACTACAACAACACATTTACGACATAATAATAATAGTAACTGTAAAAATAATAGTTATTTAAATAATAATAATAACAATGATAACATAAATCATAATACATCATCATTATCCGCAACAATGATAACTGCTACCTCAACACAACCCTATAGTATATTATCCTCAGCTTCGTCCAATCATTCCTCTTGTGATAATTTCAAAATCTGTAGTGATGAAGAAGAACAAGAACACCAAGAACAGGTAGTGAAAAGACGTCATAGAAGACGTTCCACCTCCCAAAGAAGATCAAGAAGTAGAAGCAAATGTGGTGGCGGTAAATGTTTTTCATAATGTTTACACAATTTTAGTTTTGTGCTGCTGCTGCGCTTTGCTTTCTGTAGCAAAAACTAAACTGATTAAAATAAACTAAAAGCAAGCTTAAAGCCTGCACTAAACTTTTAATAATTAAAACAAATTAAAAAAAAACATATTTCAGCTTTTTGCTGCAGCCTTTTAAAGTAGTGTCCTTAAAAAACAAGACAACCCAAAACCATATAACATTCTGTATACATATTTTTATTAATTATTTCGTTGTATCATGACATTAAAACCATTTTTAAATGTGTGTAAATTAACTGCGTTTCTTACTTTTCGTTACGTTTTTTTATCTCTCTAATAAATTAAGAAATCCACTAAACTCATCATTAATCAATGTTTTTTTAACATGCCTAAAAACTGCTTTAGTTGTTAATAGTTCTTTTTAATAATTGTACAGTTATTTTAGTAAAAATGTAAAAAAAAATGTTTGTTACTTATTTAATTTACACTTTCCGTTTTCCAAAACCTTTAGTTACCGAAGAAACGGAGGAGCAGCTGTTATCTCAATGGTTTACTTTGGTTAATAAAAAGAATGCTTTAATCCGACGTCAAATGCAATTGAATTTACAGTAAGTTTTTTATTTCAAATGTTCTAAAACGTTTACTAATCATTGTTTTTATTATAGTGAAAAAGAATGTGAATTGGAACACAAGTATAATCTTCTAAAGGAGGAACTTCGTGCTGCCCAATCTGTGGAAGATTGGCGTAAAACTGAAGCTCAACGTGAGAAGGAACGTGTGCTTTTGGAAAAATTGGTGGCAATTGTTGATAAGCGTAATGAATTGGTGCAGTGTTTACACAATGAGGAACAAGCGTAAGTTGAAATAGAACATAACTAGAACAGAACTAGAATAGAACTAGAACAGAACTAGAACAGAACTAGAACAGAACTAGAACAGAACTAGAACAGAACTAGAACAGAACTAGAACAGAACAGAACTAGAACAGAACTAAACAGAACTAGAACGGAACTAGAACAGAACTAGAACAGAACTAGAACAGAACAAGAACAGAACTAGAACTAACCTAGAACTGAACTAGAACTGAACTAGAACTGAACTAGAACTGATCTAGAACTGAACTAGAACTGAACTAGAACTGAACTAGAACTGAACTAGAACAGAACTAGAATTGAACTAGAACTGAACTAGAACTGAACTAGAACTGAACTAGAACAAAACTAGAACAGAACTAGAACAGAACTAGAAGAGAACTAGAACAGAACTAGAAAAGAACTAGAACTGAACTAGAAACTGAACTAGAACTGAACTAGAACTGAACTAGAACTGAACTAGAACCGAACTAGAACTGAACTAGAACTGAACTAGAACTGAACTAGAACTGAACTAGAACTGAACTAGAACTGAACTAGAACTGAACTAGAACTGAACTAGAACTGAACTAGAACTGAACTAGAACTGAACTAGAACTGAACTAGAACTGAACGAGAACTGAACTAGAACTGAACTAGAACTGAACTAGAACTGAACTAGAACTGAACTAGAACTGAACTAGAACTGAACTAGAACAAAACTAGAACAGAACTAGAACAGAACTAGAAGAGAACTAGAACAGAACTAGAAAAGAACTAGAACTGAACTAGAACTGAACTAGAACTGAACTAGAACTGAACTAGAACTGAACTAGAACTGAACTAGAACTGAACTAGAAATGAACTAGAACTGAACTAGAACTGAACTAGAACTGAACTAGAACTGAACTAGAACTTAACTAGAACTACAGAACTGAACTAGAACTGAACTAGAACTGAACTAGAACTGAACTAGAACTGAACTAGAACTGAACTAGAACTGAACTAGAACTGAACTAGAACTGAAGCTAACTAACTAGAACTGAACTAGAACTGAACTAGAACTGAACTAGAACTGAACTAGAACTGAACTAGAACTGAACTAGAACTGAACTAGAACTGAACTAGAACTGAACTAGAACTGACTAGAACTGAACTAGAACTGAACTAGAACTGAACTAGAACTGAACTAGAGACTGGAACTAGAACTGAACTAGAACTGAACTAGAACTGAACTAGAACTGAACTAGAACTTGAACTAAACTGAACTAGAACTGAACTAGAACTGAACTAGAACTGAAATAGAACTGAACTAGAACGAAAAAAAAAAACTAGAAATGCACATAATGAACTAGAACTGAACTAGAACTGAACTAGAACTGAACTAGAACTGAACTTAGAAAGGAACTAGAACTGAACTAGAACTGAACTAGAACTGAACTAGAACTGAACTAGAACTGAATAGAACTGAATTAGAACTGACTAGACTGAACTAGAACTGGACTAGAAACTGAACTAACTGAACTAGACACCTAACGACCTGACTAGAACTGACTAGAACTGAACTGAACTATACCTGAACTGAACTATAACTGAACTAGAAACGACTGAACTGAACTGACACTAGAACTGAACTAGAACGAACTAGAACTGAACTAGAAAACTGAACTAGAACTGAACTAGAACTGAACTAGACAACTGAACTAGAACTGAACTAACTGAACTAGAACTAACTAGAACTGAACTAGAACTGAACTAGAACTGAACTAGAACTGACTAGAACTGAACTAGACTGAACTAGAACTGAACTAGAACTGAACTAGAACTGAACTAGAACTGAACTAGAACTGAACTAGACTGAACTAGAACGACTAGACTGAACTAGAACTGAACTAGAACTGAACTAGAACTGAACTAGAACTGAACTAGAACTGAACTAGAACTGAACTAGAACTGAACTAGAACTGAACTAGAACTGAACTAGAACTGAACTAGAACTGAACTAGAACTGAACTAGAACTGAACTAGAACTGAACTAGAACTGAACTAGAACTGAACTAGAACTGAACTAGAACTGAACTAGAACTGAACTAGAACTGAACTAGAACTGAACTAGAACTGAACTAGAACTGAACTAGAACTGAACTAGAACTGAACTAGAACTGAACTAGAACTGAACTAGAACTGAACTAGAACTGAACTAGAACTGAACTAGAACTGAACTAGAACTGAACTAGAACTGAACTAGAACTGAACTAGAACTGAACTAGAACTGAACTAGAACTGAACTAGAACTGAACTAGAACTGAACTAGAACTGAACTAGAACTGAACTAGAACTGAACTAGAACTGAACTAAAACTGAACTAGAACTGAACTAGAACTGTACTAGAACTGAACTAGAACTAGAACTGAACTAGAACTGAACTAGAACTGAACTAGAACTGAACTAGAACTGAACTAGAACTGAACTAGAACTGAACTAGAACAGAACTAGAACAGAACTAGAACAGAACTAGAACAGAACTAGAACAGAACTAGAACAGAACTAGAACAGAACTAGAACTGAACTAGAACTGAACTAGAACTGAACTAGAACTGAACTAGAACTAAACTAGAACTAGAACTGAACTAGAACTGAACTAGAACTAGAACTGAACTAGAACTGAACTAGAACTGAACTAGAACTGAACTAGAACTGAACTAGAACTGAACTAGAACTGAACTAGAAGTGAACTAGAACTGAACTAGAACTGAACTAGAACTGAACTAGAACTGAACTAGAACTGAACTAGAACTGAACTAGAACTGAACTAGAACTGAACTAGAACTGAACTAGAACTGAACTAGAACTGAACTAGAACTGAACTAGAACTGAACTAGAACTGAACTAGAACTGAACTAGAACTGAACTAGAACTGAACTAGAACTGAACTAGAACTGAACTAGAACTGAACTAGAACTGAACTAGAACTGAACTAGAACTGAACTAGAACTGAACTAGAACTGAACTAGAACTGAACTAGAACTGAACTAGAACTGAACTAGAACTGAACTAGAACTGAACTAGAACTGAACTAGAACTGAACTAGAACTGAACTAGAACTGAACTAGAACTGAACTAGAACTGAACTAGAACTGAACTAGAACTGAACTAGAACTGAACTAGAACTGAACTAGAACTGAACTAGAACTGAACTAGAACTGAACTAGAACTGAACTAGAACTGAACTAGAACTGAACTAGAACTGAACTAGAACTGAACTAGAACTGAACTAGAACTGAACTAGAACTGAACTAGAACTGAACTAGAACTGAACTAGAACTGAACTAGAACTGAACTAGAACTGAACTAGAACTGAACTAGAACTGAACTAGAACTGAACTAGAACTGAACTAGAACTGAACTAGAACTGAACTAGAACTGAACTAGAACTGAACTAGAACTGAACTAGAACTGAACTAGAACTGAACTAGAACTGAACTAGAACTGAACTAGAACTGAACTAGAGTGAACTAGAACTGAACTAGAACTGAACCAGAACTGAACTAGAACTGAACTAGAACTGAACTAGAACTGAACTAGAACTGAACTAGAACTGAACTAGAACTGAACTAGAACTGAACTAGAACTGAACTAGAACTGAACTAGAACTAGAACTGAACTAGAACTGAACTAGAACTGAACTAGAACTGAACTAGAACTGAACTAGAACTGAACTAGAACTGAACTAGAACTGAACTAGAACTGAACTAGAACTGAACTAGAACTGAACTAGAACTGAACCAGAACTGAACTAGAACTGAACTAGAACTGAACTAGAACTGAACTAGAACTGAACTAGAACTGAACTAGAACTGAACTAGAACTTAACTAGAACTGAACTAGAACTGAACTAGAACTGAACTAGAACTGAACTAGAACTGAACTAGAACTGAACTAGAACTGAACTAGAACTGAACTAGAACTGAACTAGAACTGAACTAGAACTGAACTAGAACTGAACTAGAACTGAACTAGAACTGAACTAGACTGAACTAGAACTGAACTAGAACTGAACTAGAACTGAACTAGAACTGAACTAGAACTGAACTAGAACTGAACTAGAACTGAACTAGAACTGAACTAGAACTGAACTAGAACTGAACTAGAACTGAACTAGAACTGAACTAGAACTGAACTAGAACTGAACTAGAACTGAACTAGAACTGAACTAGAACTGAACTAGAACTGAACTAGAACTGAACTAGAACTGAACTAGAACTGAACTAGAACTGAACTAGAACTGAACTAGAACTGAACTAGAACTGAACTAGAACTGAACTAGAACTGAACTAGAACTGAACTAAACTAGAACTGAACTAGAACTGAACTAGAACAGAACTAGAACAGAACTAGAACAGAACTAGAACAGAACTAGAACAGAACTAGAACAGAACTAGAACAGAACTAGAACAGAACTAGAACGGAACTAGAACAGAACTAGAACAGAACTAGAACAGAACTAGAACAGAACTAGAACAGAACAAGAACAGAACTAGAACTGAACTAAAACTGAACTAAAACTGAACTAGAACTGAACTAGAACTGAACTAGAACTGAACTAGAACTGAACTAGAACTAAACTAGAACTGAACTAGAACTGAACTAGAACTGAACTGGAACTGAACTAGAACTGAACTAGAACTGAACTAGAACTGAACTAGAACTGAACTAGAACTGAACTAGAACTGAACTAGAACTGAACTAGAACTGAACTAGAACTGAACTAGAACTGAACTAGAACAGAACTAGAACAGAACTAGAACAGAACTAGAACAGAACTAGAACAGAACTAGAACAGAACTAGAACAGAACTAGAACTGAACTAGAACTGAACTAGAACTGAACTAGAACTGAACTAGAACTGAACTAGAACTTAACTAGAACTGAACTAGAACAGAACTAGAACAGAACTAGAACAGAACTAGAACAGAACTAGAACAGAACTAGAACAGAACTAAAACAGAACTAGAACGGAACTAGAACAGAACTAGAACAGAACAAGAACAGAACTAGAACTGAACTTAAACTGAACTAGAACTGAACTAGAACTGAACTAGAACTGAACTAGAACTGAACTAGAACTGAACTAGAAGTGAACTAGAACTGAACTAGAACTGAACTAGAACTGAACTAGAACTGAACTAGAACTGAACTAGAACTGAACTAGAACTGAACTAGAACTGAACTAGAACTGAACTAGAACTGTGAACTAGAACTGAACTAGAACTGACTAGAACTGAACTAGAACTGAACTAGAACTGAACTAGAACTGAACTAGAACTGAACTAGAACTGAACTAGAACTGAACTAGAACTAACTAGAACTGAACTAGAACTGAACTAGAACTGAACTAGAACTGAACTAGAACTGAACTAGAACTGAACTAGAACTGAACTAGAACTGAACTAGAACTGAACTAGAACTGAACTAGAACTGAACTAGAACTGAACTAGAACTGAACTAGAACTGAACTAGAACTGAACTAGAACTGAACTAGAACTGAACTAGAACTGAACTAGAACTGAACTAGAACTGAACTAGAACTGAACTAGAACTGAACTAGAACTGAACTAGAACTGAACTAGAACTGAACTAGAACTGAACTAGAACTGAACTAACTGAACTAGAACTGAACTAGAACTGAACTAGAACTGAACTAGAACTGAACTAGAACTGAACTAGAACTGAACTAGAACTGAACTAGAACTGAACTAGAACTGAACTAGAACTGAACTAGAACTGAACTAGAACTGAACTAGAACTGAACTAGAACTGAACTAGAACTGAACTAGAACTGAACTAGAACTGAACTAGAACTGAACTAGAACTGAACTAGAACTGAACTAGAACTGAACTAGAACTGAACTAGAACTGAACTAGAACTGAACTAGAAAGAACTGAACTAGAACTGAACTAGAACTGAACTAGAACTGAAGTAGAACTGAAGTAGAACTGAAGTAGAACTGAAGTAGAACTGAACTAGAACTGAACTAGAACTGAACTAGAACTGAACTAGAACTGAACTAGAACTGAACTAGAACTGAACTAGAACTGAACTAGAACTGAACTAGAACTGAACTAGAACTAGAACTGAACTAGAACTGAACTAGAACTGAACTAGAACTGAACTAGAACTGAACTAGAACAGAACTAGAACAGAACTAGAACAGAACTAGAACAGAACTAGAACAGAACTAGAACAGAACTAGAACAGAACTAGAACTGAACTAGAACTGAACTAGAACTGAACTAGAACTGAACTAGAACTGAACTAGAACTAGAACTAGAACTAGAACTAGAACTAGAACTAGAACTAGAACTGAACTAGAACTGAACTAGAACTGAACTAGAACTGAACTAGAACTGAACTAGAACTGAACTAGAAGTGAACTAGAACTGAACTAGAACTGAACTAGAACTGAACTAGAACTGAACTAGAACTGAACTAGAACTGAACTAGAACTGAACTAGAACTGAACTAGAACTGAACTAGAACTGAACTAGAACTGAACTAGAACTGAACTAGAACTGAACTAGAACTGAACTAGAACTGAACTAGAACTGAACTAGAACTGAACTAGAACTGAACTAGAACTGAACTAGAACTGAACAACTAGAACTGAAGTAGAACTGAACTAGAACTGAACTAGAACTGAACTAGTACTGAACTAGAACTGAACTAGAACTGAACTAGAACTGAACTAGAACTGAACTAGAACTGAACTAGAAACTCAACTAGAACTGAACTAGAACTGAACTAGAACTGAACTAGAACTGAACTAGAACTGAACTAGAACTGAACTAGAACTGAAACTAGAACTGAACTAGAACTGAACTAGAACTGAACTAGAACTGAACTAGAACTGAACTAGAACTGAACTAGAACTGAACTAGAACTGAACTAGAACTGAACTAGAACTGAACTAGAACTGAACTAGAACTGAACTAGAACTGAACTAGAACTGTACTAGAACTGAACTAGAACTAGAAGTGAACTAAAGACTTGTTCTCTAAATATTAATATTTTCTTATTTACAGTATCGAAGATGATCATGAAATTGCCCGCAATTTGGAACAAGTCAATATTAGTGGCAATAATGAAAAATGTGTTATTTCTTAAAGAGCTTTCCTAGGCGGGAAACAGAGAAAATCGAATAAACCACAACAAATACAACTATAACAACAACCAAAAGGAATTCAAGAGACTTCCATGACTGTGTGTAAAACCAAAACCAAACAACTAACAACAACCGCATCAATTTATTTAATTTTTTTTTTTAACAAAAATTGACAAAAACGGCGTTTAAATATTATAAAAATTAACTTTAAGTTTCTGTCTTTTTTTAAAAAACCAAACGAAAAAGTATAAAAACTAAGCGTGCAAACAAAAATGTTCACAGATTTGAATAACGAAATGAAAATCTTTATGTGTCTAGCTTTATATATTTTATAAAATATATATATTTAATCAACAAAACAAAAACATACATATAAAACAAAACAAATCATTATATAAAAGAAAAATAAAGAAAATTATTTACGAAAAAGTATAACGATTTATGAACTACACAATAAAAACAAAAAAAAAAAAAACAACAAGGATTTGATTAATAAAAATTTAAACATATTTTGAAGATATAATACCAAAAATTACAAAAGAGATAAAAGAAACTATTTTGAACATAAAACTCTATTAACAAACAAAAAAAAAAATGAAACAATATTTTTCGGTAAAAAGTTTCGGAAACCAAAAGGATAAAAGTTATTAAAGAAAATAAAGAATTTCAAACATATATATATATATTTAAAAACATACGTCCGTTAGCTATTTAAGTCTTGAAAGAAACAAATCTAAAAAGAAACAAACAAAACACAGAAACTTACTTACATATATCAAACAGATTTAAACAGAATTTTTATTTTTTATTTTAAAGAATTGTGCCATTTTTTATTTCCCTTTCGCTCAACAGATACTCACTCACATTTATTTCTATTAATTTTCAATTTAATTTTTACCAAATGACCAGAAATGAAAAACAATTTAAAGTTTTGTATATTTTTTTGCTTCTCACCAAATATTTTTATGTTTTGTAAAAGAAAAAGTTAAAAAAAAAAAAACAAAAAAATTAAAATATTATAGTTTTTACTTTAAGTTTTAGTTGTATTTTATAAAATGAGAAATTAAATCATAAAAACAATAACTTTTGTTAAAGCAACATCTAACTAAGTGTGATCCTATTTATAATTCGTATTTACATTAAAAAAATCTAATTTATTTAACTGATTTTATTTGGTACCTTTATTTTTTTTTTTTAGTTAATTTTAGTTCTTTTTTTTATATATATTTATTAAAAAGAGAAATTCTTAGTTAAGTTGTGTATATTATTTTTTAATTTAATATTTATGTGTATAAAATGAATTCTCTCCTTATTTATGTAATTTATTTACATAATTATTTCGCTTGTACATTATTTTATATTTTAATTTTTATTTTAATAACTATTCCTTAAAAGAATAAAATAAAACAAACATAATTTTTAGCGTTTCTTAGCTATGGTATAACTTAATAAAAATACATTGAAAACCTATAAACAAATAATTATTTCGTATTATTAAAAAACAAAAGAATTAATATTATAACAAAATTATCTCGTGACAAAGAAAAAACTGAAATAAACCAGAAATTATATTTATCAAATGATAATAAAGAAAAAAGTCTTTGGAGTTTTATTTGAACTAGAACTGAACTTGAACCAGAACTTGAACTAGAACTTGAACTGAACTTGAACTAGAACTTGAACTTGAACTTGAACTAGAACTAGAACTAGAACTGAACTTGAACTAGTACATGAACCAGAACTTGAACTAGAACTGAACTTGAACTAGAACTGAACTAGAACTCAACTAGAACTGAACTAGAACTGAACTAGAACTGAACTAGAACTGAACTAGAACTGAACTAGAACTGAACTAGAACTGAACTAGAACTGAACTAGAACTGAACTAGAACTGAACTAGAACTGAACTAGAACTGAACTAGAACTGAACTAGAACTAGAACTGAACTAAAACTGAACTAGAACTGAACTAGAACTGAACTAGAACTGAACTAGAACTGAACTAGAACTGAACTAGAACTGAACTAGAACTGAACTAGAACTGAACTAGAACTGAACTAGAACTGAACTAGAACTGAACTAGAACTGAACGAGAACTGAACTAGAACTGAACTAGAACTGAACTAGAACTGAACTAGAACTGAACTAGAACTGACCTAGAACTGAACTAGAACTGAACTAGAACTGAACTAGAACCGAAATAGAACCGAAATAGAACTGAACTAGAACAGAACTAGAACAGAACTAGAACTGAACTAGAACTGAACTGGAACTTAAATAGAACTGAACAAAACTAAACTAGAACTGAATTAGCGATAAAATAGAACTAAACTAGAAATGAACCAGAACGGAACTAAAACTGAACTAGAACTGAACTAGAACTAAACTAGAACTGAACTTGATCTAGAACTTGAAATAGAACTGAACTGAACGAAAACTGAACTAGAACTGACCTAGAACTGAACTAGAACTGAACTAGAACCGAAATAGAACTGAAGTAGAACCGAAATAGAACTGAACTAGAACCAAAATAGAACTGAACTAGAATAGAACTAGAACAGAACTAGAACTGAACTAGAACTGAACTAGAACTGAACTAGAACTAAACTGAAACTTAAATAGAACTGAACAAAACTAAACTAGAACTGAACTAGCGATGAAATAGAACTAAACTAGAACTTAACTAGAAATGAACCAGAACTGAACTAGAACTGAACTAGAACTGAACTGGAACTGAACTAGAACTGAACTGAACTAGAACTGAACTAGAACTGAACTAGAACTGAACTAGAACTGAACTAGAACTGAACTAGAACTGAACTAGAACTGAACTAGAACTGAACTAGAACTGAACTAGAACTGAACTAGAACTGAACTAGAACTGAACTAGAACTGAACTAGAACTGAACTAGAACTGAACTAGAACTGAACTAGAACTGAACTAGAACTGAACTAGAACTGAACTAGAACTGAACAGACTAGAACTGAACTAGAACTGAACTAACTGAACTAGAACTGAACTAGACTGAACTAGAACTGAACTAGAACTGAACTAGACTGAACTAGAACTGAACTAGAACTGAACTAGAACTGAACTAGAACTGAACTAGAACTGAACTAGAACTGAACTAGAACTGAACTAAAACTGACACTAAAAACTGAACTAGAACTGAACTAGAACTGCCACTAGAACTGAACTAGAACTGAACTAGAACTAGAACTGAACTAGAACTGGAACTAGAATTGAACTCGAACAGAACTATAACAGAACTAGAACAGAATTAGAACAGAACTTGAACAGAACTAGAACAGAACTAGAACAGAACTAGAACAAAACTAGAACAAAACTAGAACACAACTAGAACAACTAGAACAACTAGAATAGAATTGAACTAGAACAGAACTAGAACTGAACTAGAACCAGAACTAGAACAGAATTAGAACAGAACTAGAACAGAACTAGAACAGAACTAGAACAGAACTAGAACAGAACTAGAACAGAACTAGAACTGAACTAGAACAGAACAGAACTAGAACAGAACTAGAACAGAACTAGAACAGAACTAGAACAGAACTAGAACAGAACTAGAACAGAACTGGAACAGAACTAGGAACAGAACTAGGAACAGAACTAGGAACAGAACTAGAACAGAACTAGAGCAGAACTAGAACAGAACTAGAACAAAACTAGAACAGCACTAGAACACAACCAGAACTAGAACTCATCTAAAACTGAAGTAGAACTGAACTAAACTAGAACTGAACTGAAATAGAACTGAACTAGAATTGAACTAGAACTGAACTACAATTAAATTAGAACTGCAATAGAAAGTATAACTAACTATAACTGAACTAGAACTGAACTAAACTAGACCTAAACTAAACTAGAACTCAACTAAAAATGAACTACAACTGAACTAGAACTATGTAGAAATTAACTAGGACTAAACTAGAACTGAAGTAGAACTGAACTAGGACTGAACTAGAACTGAACTACAACTAAATTAGAACTGAACTAAACTAGAACTGAACTAGAATGGAACTAGAACCAAAATAAAACAGAACTGGAGCTGAACTAGAACTGAACTACAACTGAATTAAAAGTGAACTTCAACTGAACTGGAGCAGAATTGAACTAGAAATTAACTAGAACTGAACTGGAATTTAACTAAAGCTGAACTAGAACTCAACTAGAATTGAACTAGAACTAATTTTGAAGTGAAATAGAACTGTACTAGATCTATCCTTGAAATGAACTGAAGTAGTTATGGGCTAGAACTAAACTAGATCCAACCATAAACTGAACAAGATATTAGCTAGAACAGAAGTAGAACTAAGACGTTGTTACATGAACTAAATAACATTCCCTTCTTTGATATTAATTACTTTTTGTTCCTTTTGGTTATTATTACTTACTCCCTCTCGTATTACGTTTTGCTTTTCTCTTTTATGCAGCATCAGCTCAAATTGAGCTTATTTCATTATTTACTTTGATATTTGCGCTTTTGCTTTTATTTCATTTTTAAGCAATTAGTTTAACATTGTTCTTCCTTGCTGCGGTACGGTTATCGGAAAAAAGTGAAATTAAGATTTGTAGTGATATTTTATTTTTTTGGTGAAAAAAGTGTGATTAAAAATTTAATTTTTATATATAAAAGTGTTGTTATTAAATTCCATTAAAATAAAGTGTTTTTAATAGAAAAAGTTTTAGTAAGTTGTTTTATAGAAAATGGTGAAGAATATAATAAATATTTTTTGTAATTTTTATGAAAAAAGTTAGAATTACATATTGTGTTAAAAGTTTTAGTATAAAATTTCTTTAAAATATCACAAATATCATAATGTTTTAAATAAATAAATAAATAAATAAAATTTATTATTTCTAATTAATTTAAATCCAAAATTTAATATGAAGCTGCGTAATTATGGTTGCAGCGCTGCTTTTTGGTTTTTTCTTTTTCATTCATCGCATTGCGTATCGTTCGTTGTTAGTGTTTTTGCTAAAACAAATAAAACAAATCAATGGTCCTGCTTGAACATGATCAATTGTCAAACGAATTAAAACAACAAATTTTGTATTAAGGTAAGTGCAATATATTTGTTGTAATTGTTATTATTTTCATTGAAAGAGAGAAGCAAGTAAGAAATAATAAGAGAAGCATTTAAGTTGTTGTTTTAATTTTCTGTAATTATACCAGGGATGGAAAATGAGATTTTATTTTAGCATGAAACTTTTTCGTTATTTACATGGGAGTTTCTTTTTTAATATTCTATAATACGAAACATATAAAATTTAACATGTAGGGTCATGAGTAAAGGAGAATGTACTATAAGGAACTGTTTTGATACTTTTCCGTTCATCAAATTATATTTTTGGAATTTTTTATAATATTGATCAAAGAAACATAAATTTTTTGTTTCAATGAGAATATATAAGAGGTATTTTACTATTTCCTTCTTCAAATAGTACTTTCGTAAT